CCCGTCCATCGCTGAGTGCGCGGTGGTTGGCGTCAACAACCGGGCCGGTACTCATTGGCCCCGGGCTTATGTTGTTCAGAAAGTCGGGGCACCGGTAGTTAATGAGACAGACATTGAAAAATTTGTTACAGGTATATTTTAATATACTGTATGATTCATAATTTGTTACATCATAATGTTAATTTAATTGTTTATTTAAATGGACAGACACCCTGGCACATACTAAACAATTGAAAGCAGGTGTGGTATTCGTACCGTACATTCACCGTATAGGGATGGGCAAGGTGGATCGGAAATATTACCGAACATTAGTTAGCCAGGAGATATTGGATTAAATTATGTGTTTATGTACTAAAATATAACATAATTTAGGGATTAACTTTATCCCCCGATCATCACCCGATGTTTTCGCGCCCTGATAAAGAGAGAGAGAGCTAATTATATATTTAATTATTATTAAATATTTAATTATTATTAATTTTTTACAAAGTATTCAATGTAGTTTAAAGTAAAATCAGTTAATAATTTACTAATTATAATCATAATCACATTTTAATAGCTCTCTCTCCCAATTTTGTGGTCCAGATTACAGATTAATATGTGATTACAGCTATAATTAGTAAATTATTAACTGATTTAAATATAAACTATATAAAATACTTTGTATAAAATTAAACTTTGTATAAAATTAATAATAATTTAATATATAACCAGTTCTCTCTCTCTCTCTCTCTCTCTCTCTCTCTCTCAATCTGGGGATCTGGATCGGGGGATAAAAGTCAATCTCCATATAAGTTATGTTTTAAAAAACAATTTTCTTGGTCATTGTCCCACTTTTAAAAAATAACACAATTTTTAATAAAGTTTATTAGACTCGTTACAAAATTACAGTTTCTATTGTTTTAAATCGTAGAGTGGTATGGCAGTATTAGTTACATTTTGGCTTCTCATTTACCTTTTGAAAAATTTAATTATTTATCAAATATTTGTTAGACTGGAGGTATTGAATTAATTATCAAAAAATATTTTAAACTAATTTACTATTTAAATGTCAGCCAGGATCGTGTCCAATTTCTATAGAGAAATATAAATTCTAATAATATCTTACATAAATCGTTACAAGATTACAGTTTGTTATGATATTGCTATTAAATTTGTAAATGGCATAATTGCCAGTTGTTTGGTGTTTATCGATTAGAATTGTCAGTTTAAATGGTTAATATTGACTAAATTTACCTATCTATTAATTTAAACTATGTAAAATTATTAAATTAAATTGTTTAATTGATTTAAAATTTGTTATTGCTTTATCTTCGTGAAACTGTAAATAAAATGTGGCACTAATTAATATGAGTGTAAAGATAACGGATGATACCTGACTAATATAGGCTTATCTTTCGTTTTCTTGAAAATTTTTTGCTTACGACTAAATATCAAAATCTTTAGTGATAAAGTCTATGAGTTTGAGCTAAAAAGATATTAATATTTAGTTGTAAACAAAAAAGCTTGCAAGATGCGAAAGATAAGCCTATATTAGTCAGGTATCATCCGTTATATTGAACCACATATATAAAATGATTATTAGAACAATAAAATTAGAAACATTATACTATTAGTAATGTATAATAATTTGAAAACGAAAATTTATATTTATAAATATGTTAATTATAAAAAAAACTCACGTATTAATTATAAATAAATGTTTTTAGGCTTCTCATCTAACTCTGGGTGTAGCCCAGCATATACTGGAATCTGCAAACTTGGCATATACCATTTTATTCTACACTATTTTATGAGGTACTTAGGCTATTCAAAGTCGGCGAATGGTCAGACACTTCTCCGTACGGGTGATGACTCCTCCGTGTTTTTAACATGTTATTCCCTATTCATTGGCTAAAATATGCATATAAAAATGTTTTACTGGGCAATATATTTAGGAATACACTAAAACTCACCTGACTAACAATATTAAATTGATTAATGCTTAATAAAAGCGTTAAAAAGATAATGATTAGGGAATATGTTAAAAACACGGAGGAGCCATCACCCGTACGGAGAAGTGTCTGGCCATTCGCCAACTTTGAATAGCCTAAGTACCTCATAAAATAGTGTAGAATAAAATGGTATATGCCAAGTTTGCAGATTCCAGTATATGCTGGGCTACACCCAGAGTAAGTCATTTTATTGATTCTCAATTATTTTTAAAAATTGAAATATATAATTAATAATTGTGAAACTGTTTGATAAGTTAGTAATATATTAATTTATTAGTTTTAAATACAAGTTATTTGTATTGGACATGCAAATATTTTTTAAAATACTGTTATTATTCCGACAAGCTACAAATATTATTTTATAGTGCTAACCATTAATAATTAAAGAAAATTAACATTTTAATTTTCAGGACCTCGCTATGATTTATACCAGTAAGTTTCAAAAGTAGGTAGCATTCACATTTAGTAATGCTATAAGTATTACTATTTGTAATAATTTGTAATACATGAAATTGGCTGATTTATACTGTATATTGATATTTAAAAATATTACTTTATATTTAAAAATAGGTTAAGGAAAGAAATCCAGTTAGGGATGAGCAAGATGGATCGACAATATTATCGGACATTAGTTAACAATGAGATATTCGATTAGATTATGTATTAATTTAATAGATGTTATAAAAATAATAATCGAGTTCTAATACCAACATTTATATAAATAACACAATTTATAATGAAGTTTACTCAAATCGTTACAAAATTACAGTTTACTATGGTTATTACTGAAATATAAAGTTTTCACTATAAGGCATACATTAACAAAATTCTTGATTTATAAAACTTCTAATGTTATGTGTATTCTATATTATAAAATGACCCTTCTAGCTCATGTATGTTATTATATTTTATAAAAAAATAGTTACAAAATATGTTTATATACGATATAGTCGGGGGAAGGCGGGTCCCGTTGGGAGCAATCGGAAGTCCCGATCAGCTTTAGGGCGGGAATCAGGAGGGAACGGGAGTCATAAAAATTTGTCGGGAGGGAACGGAGTATGGCTTAGCCACAATTGGACAGACTAATACTAATTAATGTTATAATATTCACAGTTTTTCCCCTGTTAATGTGGTCCGGATTACACTGTATGGGAATCATAGCCTTTTAAAGCATAGTAAGAATAGTAATATAAAAATTCAGATTATAAAACATTTTTGAACATTTTAACATTTTAACAAAAATCATATTTAAAAATTCATTGAGTAATGCTTTACTGTCGTGTAATATCAATTTTATTGGCTATTACCTATTGGGACTCCCAATTTGGGAGTATAGGCCCGATAGGTAACTAAATGATAAAATAAAATCTATTTTTTGCTTTTTAAAACAACTTAAAACTTTTTATGTGAAAGAATGGCTTAACCTAATATTTAAATGATATTGTTGGTTTAAAAGTTAATACTGTAGATTTGAAATATGTATAAGATACATAAAAACATGCAATTCAAAACATACATAAAACACTGAATCGGGAGTGATCTGAAGGGTTCTCTACCGGATCATATGTAACGGGACTCCCGTTCACTCCCGTTCGGGTCCCGATTGGACAGACTAGTTAGTTAGATAGAAAGGCTAAATATCCCGCTCATTTACAATAAAGTTGTCTATTGATTAAAGTCTTCGCGAATACAGCCATTGGGTAACAAAAATATAAACTTTCCCGGATTTTGGATCAAATGTTTTGGCAAATTAGTCATCGTTTTGGACTCAGGAATGGCACCAAATTTCAACACCATTTCCTTAAAACTATACACTTCTGGATACATATCATAGACGTCTTCTCCATTGCATATCTTCTTCTGGATCTCATTCTTGTCCAACACTTTCTCATCAATTACTCTATCATTATGTGAATACGAAGTCATTTTAAATACAAAGTCCGAGATATGTCGGAAACAAAATGAGCAATGCCAACCTATCAGACAATCATTTGTTTATAACAGTTAATTTCAATCATTTGATTTAATAATTAGGCATTCCCATATAATCACTTATTATATATAACTCGAATTAGTGATTTATATGTGAATGATTATTTAGAAAAAAATAGAATTAACTTGTTTATAAAGCAAATTCAATGAGCAAGGCAATAATAGTGTTACCCGAATCGGCCAACTGGGTGTCCGACAGCCTTCCGTGTCTATAATTAAACTCGTGGTCATAGATGTCTATGTGAGCCCTCCAGCTGTCATCCGTACTAAGAAGTACACAAATGAGTAGAAATACATATTCAGCTGTAAATGCATGTGATTTGGGAAACCGATGCACTCTTTCAACAGTCGCACCGTCTGTCGGGACGGTATCTCATCCACGTCTGAGCAGATGATCGCATCACCATTTCGGGCATATTTGGCGACAATGTCGTTCAAAATGTCCCTCATTTGCGCCTCGTTTTTCCAGGGCCCCTCCCCGGGCATTAGTGCCGTCAAACCCCCGTAGGAATGGTATCTGAGTTTGTCTTTAGCCCACGAGAACCGATCCAAACTCCGGTTCAGATACAGGGGTTTGGGTCGTCCGGTGAACCCTCTGTCGGCCTCTAAGACGATGAAGTGGTCGACGAAAGGCCACAACTGTTTGAGTCGGATCTCCAATAAGTCCAACTCTATTGAGAAGATGATTGTATCGATCACTTGGACCTTCTGTGCCCTCCTCTGCCAACCGTGCAGTTCACACAAATGCGTTGAATTCAGACCATTCGTGTAATAATGTGGTAGTGTATTGAAGGGCCTCCCTTGGTGCCCGTCCCATATGGGCCTGGTCAGATACAGTAGGTCTCTAACGGCTACTTTAGTGCGCGTCCAGTTGTACGTACAGAATATGGCTAATGCCATGATTAGCACGGAAATGATTTTCAATGTCTGGAGTTTAGGCATCGCATCGGTGTTTACGTTCGTGTTTATTACCAATGATTACTATTATTATTATTATTATATGAATCACTTTGGCTTAATAATCGCTTTTCTTAATATTCAAAAATACGTATTAAATTTTATGTAATTTAGAGTATTAATCTGTTATATTATTATAATATTAGTGTTTGAATATTGAGAAAGAAGGTTATTAAATTTATCAATTCATATTTGTAAAAATAAAAACGTAATTATAATTACATGCATCATAATAATTTTTTTAATTAAAGGATATTTAGAAAAAAATGTATGTAACTATTATTACTAAGGTATCGATCAGGCTAGTAGATCATGATATTTCAGATTATTACTTACTTAAATCATTTGGCAACTTAATATCAGATTTTAACTAAACTTTACTGTTAACTAAAAACTAAACTAGTGTCGAGGTATCATAATGAATGTTTTAGTTGCTATTTAACAACTTTGGCACATTTATCATTTCAATCTATATAACATTTATTATATAAAAATATATGAATGAAAGGATCAAACAGAGGCATATGTCTGAAACTTAGTAATGCTTTGGTTTTCACATTTAATATACAATTTTCAATAGAAATTAGTAATTTTTGATATACTTTCCAAATTATTTTGTATATTAAATGTGAAAACCAAAGCATTACTAAGTTTCAGATATATGGCTCTCTTTGATCCTTTCATTCATATATTAGAGATTACACTCCCTTTGAAATGCTTTATTATAGCATATTTAGAAAGTCTCTTAACTGTCAAACACAATAAATTTAACTGCACATACGCTTTAAGTGATAAACAGACTAGATAATTTATTAATTATAAGCAATAAAATGTTATAAAAAATACTGACATCCATAAATAAGAATTGTCTGTGATATAAATCCTGTTTAAATATGTAATAACCTCGGATCAAAAGCAATGTGGAGGGGTCCGGTGGGGTGGGGTTTTAAAGTCAAATCCGTTACGGAATGACAGAATACCTGTTCATATGTCGGGGCAATGCTGTAGACCAACCCTACATCCCGGGCAGTGCGGGTCCCTTATCTCCGGGCACTGAACTAAAAGTGGTTGACTTGCATACCGGCGCTACTCTGGGACCCAACACAGACGGGGAGCTCTGTGTTCGGGGAAACAAAATGTTTGCCGGATATCTGAACAACGAAAAGGCTTATCGGGAGGCGTTGGACGGGGAGGGCTGGTATCGCACGGAAGATATCGGACACTACGACGAGAGGGAGAATATATTCATTACGGATAGGCTTAAGGAAGTCATTCGCATCGGTGTCGGCAACCAATACATCAATATATCTCCCGTAGAGATCGAGCAGTACTTACTGACCCACCCGTCCATCGCTAAGTGCGCGGTGGTTGGCGTCGACAAGCGGGCCGGTACTCATTGGCCCCGGGCTTATGTCGTACAAAACCAATTAAATTGTATCGTTTTTGTGTCCAAAATGAAATTATTATTTATTTGTTATAATATTATTTTCATAACTTTTATTTCATTAAATTTGTAGTTAATTAATGTCAGTAAATTTTAATTCACATAAATTATTATTACAATAAGAGACTGTAAATTTATTACGAATTTTGTAATATATAATTAACATTTTATTATTTATTATAAATGGACTATAGGCTTATGAACCTTAACATTTTTTAGCAGTTTTAAACCATTCTCATAGATTTAATCCAAAATCTCCTTGCTAACTAGATTGCGGTAATATTTTCGGTCCACTTTCCCTATACTTGTCCTTTCGATGTGCGACACAAATACTACGCCGGCTTTCAAACGTTTGGTAAACGCAAGGGTGTCTGTCCATATGGCACATGGATGTAGATAAAAAATATAAATCCCTTTTTAAAACTATTTATTAATATATACCTGACACAAACGTTTCAAT